AGGCAGAAGAAAAGTAGTTAATTTTCCGAAGTTTTGTAATTAATTCATTGACAGATTGTCTTACCTTTCGTTGCTTACCGCAGCGCGCTTATTGAATATTCAGGTGATGTGAGATTTATCGAGAAGACCAGTGCAAGCGAATTGAAAAGAACACACGGCGTAACTGGTTGGGAAGAGGATGAGAACAGACTTGTCCTGTTTCAAATTTCACGAGTGTTGGTAATTCAAAATAAAAGGAGCATATTTTTTTAAACGCGCACGTTTTTATGAATTGAAATAGTCCCTTGATGCTAAATTGAGATATTCAATTTTCCGCGAATAATGCCGAAACCCATAAAATATGTGGAAAAAACATATTTCAAACGTTCGAAGTTTTACGAGTAGTCTTTTCGCGTGCATTTAGATATTCTTCGGAAATAAAGCAAATATTTCCCAAAAGAAGGAAGTCAAACTTTTTTTGATAAATCAGAAAAATGAGCTCCAATTAAATAGATCCAATATCCATCGTAAACGTGAAAGTTAGGCATCTATCATCATTCAAAATGAGACGTAACTCTTCTTCGGATACGGAGAAGAGTGAGGAAACAGATGTCTCTCTCTTGCGGGCTGAAGAATTCTGTCTGAAGACTTTCTCCCGCGAAGCAGAAAGATGTCGTCGAATTCTTCTGAATAATAGTTTTCGAGGGTAATCTTTTTATTGACTGTCCATTTTCAACAGAAAGCTTTTCCTTCCTCTCGGATCCCGCGTAGTAATTTTTTTATTGGAGAGGAATGCAGACGAGAAAGAGAGAATCCGATATTTATTTGATAAAATAATACCGAGTTTTCTTCTCGTTGAAATTGGATTATAGGAAGGGATCAAAGTTTCAATTCGGATGAGCTACTAAGATTGTCGGTGAGGTGCAGTTTCTATATGGAAATCGAGAGCATGCGCGCGCGGTGGAGGCGCAATGAAACGATGGTTTTGGCGAACAGATAATGCGCAAAACATGAGAGTTTGCAGTTTAAAACGAAAACATTACTCGCGAGAGTTTGCGACATGTAAATTTCAAAGTTTTTATTTGTATCTGCTTCGACATTAGCGGCAGAGAACTGGAGCGTGTAAAAAGTAAATAAATTTGTAAAAAATATTTATATGCTTGCAATTTAAATGCGCAATCAATATCAAGACGCAATATAATTTCTGTAAAATTAAATACGGAAAAAGCCAACTTTTTTTCTTTTTCTATCAAAGTTAATTTTCTTCTTAGAAGGCCCACTAATAATGATAGAAAGTCTAAGATAGCAATTTCGCTTTAGTGTCGCTATTAAAGGTCTACAATTGCATTCCCTTGCTTGAATGAGCTTAATTGAGCGAGAAAACTGTAAGCGGGCTTGCTTTGTTATCGAAAGTGTGATAGAGCTGTTCTCTTTTATATTAATTCGCTTGCAATGATTTTTATGAATGTTATAGGAAATTTTCTGTAATAACTGATAATGCGCGGGTGGTTTTATATTGACAACATTTATAAAATATGTAAAATATGTGTAATTGATATTTTGCGTGCAACTATTTATAAAATACATTTATTTTAATATTCGTAATTCATCCAACATTTTAATCTACTCTCTTTTACGTCACACATTTTACGTATTTTTGCAATATTCTCATTCTCGCTGAAGATCTGTAACTGATTTTAAATATGATTTTAAATTTTGTTATTTATAAAAAAAAGTAATTTATTAAAGCCTCTTCTAAATATTGACAAAAGATAACCGAGCAATTATACATTATATGTAATTACTTTATTATTGCTTATCTCAAGAATATATTTGTGCGTGGTTTCGTTACGACTACGCAAAAGAAGAAAACAAATTTGCAATTGCAGATTGAACAAATAGAAACATCTTTGTTTCTATTTGTTCAATTTTCTCTACGTTCAAGAGAAGTGTTATAACGATATAATAATTATTTTACTTAACGTCAGAACGAGTATTGAGCAGGATAAGCTCCGGAATTCTGAAAATAATAACATTAACAATAGCGTTTATGAGAACAAGGCAATAATATCGGGATAAAATGATTAACATGAGCCTATGTAGAAAAGCGGCATTAACAAAGGATCAGAGCGTATTCTCGTTGCGGACCCCGATCGGTCGATGGTCCAAAGTTGACTGTCAGTACGCGACGGTGCCGTGGCGGCGGGTGCTGGTGGCGTCCCGACGCTTGCGCCGCAGGTTCCACGATTCCGTCAGACGGCGCCCCGACGCTGGTACCGTCGGACGGAGCGATCGGTCGGGCCAACAGTCAGCCTCCAGTGAGCCAAGCAAGCTCTCTTTCCCTCCCTCACGCTCCCCCCGTCACATATACATGCACACGGTATAACACAGTACACACTGACGCGCATACACACACACACACACACACACACACATACAAAAGACACGCGCGCACGTACATTCTCTCACTCTCTCTCTCCGCCGACGTCCTGCGAGAGTCTCCATCCACCGAACGACACGAGAGGGAGTCCGAGTTCCTGGCTCGTTCCTCACGGCTGCAGTGCGTTTCCAAACACCTATGAGACAACCTCGAACCACTCGCACGCACGCACGCATGCACACGGTGTTGGGAAGACACGAGGAGGACCTCCGTAGACGTTACCCCCCGAGACGACTTCCTCGTTAATTAGTGTTTGAAAAATCGACGAGAGAGTTTGCGGATCAGACAACCCGGCTATTTACACGCGACTGTGCGTCGTTGATAACAACACCGATGTAAATTCCTAGTTGTTTCCTGCCTCTCATCGCCACCCACCCGCTTTATTGTCCATTATATTGTAATCGCATTTGTCCACCCTCCTGCCGATATATCCCGCGTGGTATTCGAATGATCTGCGAAAAGCCGCTTTGCAAGCCGGACCCACGCTCCAAGTGAATTTGTGCTGACTGTTTGAAGGAAAATTACACCGTGTGTTTAACGAGACACCTCAGACGAGACCAATCGTACTCCGATCGAAGTGTGCGCGAATTGAATCTCGACCCGGTGTAATGACAGTCCGCGATGTCATATCCGATTTGCGGCTCCGATTTCGGTGCTGAGACGCTTGAGACGGAAAGCGCGAAACGACCCGTGAAGCATTAAAGACGGAGATGCTTAAAGTATAAGCGCGATCTCGCGTAAAATCTCCTACGTAACATTTTTACCGCCTTGCGGATTTTATCCGCGCCGTGAGTGAATACTCGTGCTTCGCGAGAATAACGACTCTCTCAAAAGACGAGGCGTGCTCCGTCAGAGGCGAAATGTCTCAGGTGAAACTAAATCTCCGATACTGTCAGAACCGATGGAAGAGATAGCATCGTTGAATCGTCGCGCGGAAATCGGATCACAAAGAGGGCGAGCGAGCGATATCAATTTGAAATAAAATTTAAGAATTATCGACTGCTTCTCTCGGGAAATTGTCGCCAGGAGAAGACACGGTGCGACATAAAAGATCTCGTCTCCCGGATAAGAACGAATTTGCAAGGAAGAACCGCAGGATTCTTTGCAGCTGGATACAAAAAGATTTGACAGATTATATTTTGAACCGTATCGTAAATCTGAATCACATCAAGTGGCAACAATAACAACAACAACAACAACAACAACAACAACGAACGGCGACAACAACGCGGCATTTTCAGCGAAATAAAAAACATTTTCACGTCGAATTTTTTTTTTAACTGTCTCGCCGAGGTGTTTTTGAGTTTTGGGCGTAGATCGCTAGCGTGAAGTCGTGAGTGAACTCATGAATGGATCTACGTGATCCGATGACCTAGTGCCATATGAAGGAGGGTTAGAACGAGAGACAAGTAATAGGGACACGTCGTCGCGGCGTTATGAGGTCTAATGACGTGTAAATAGGTGTAAATACAGGGAAGTTCTTGCATTACAGTAGCCGCGCAATTTCCTTCACACAAAAGAGCGATATTCTACTATTATTTAAGTTTTTCTTCTCTTTCTCGACGCCCTTCTCTCTCTCTCTCTCTCTCTCTCTTCTCTCGCTTGCTCTCGCTCTTGCTCTCTCTCTCTCTCTCTCTCTCTCTCTCACTCTCTCTCTATTTCTCTCTATCTCTTCTCATCCGCTTCTCTGTTACTATATATCATGTAGTAATTCACTTCGTGCTTCTGCGTGTGATATGCTAAAAATAATCAAGCTTAGATTAAAAGAGAGTATACGTCGCTTTTCAATCATCGTAACAATCGATACAAATCCGTGTACATTTCCGTAAGCTTATTTAATAAGATATTGCACACGGGGCTCGCGAGTGGCATCTTTGAACTCGCGTCACAGTACGTATACTTATATATATAAATATAAATATAAATATACATATATACACATATATATTACATATTTATCATATTTAGCGTTACGAATATACGTGTACATAGTTCTTACGATCTATAATCTGTGTCGTTCTCTGATTTTCTCGTCAAAGTTGTTTCTCTGCTGATTTTTGTAGTATTTCGAAAAGCAGGTCGGAGCAGTACGGGTATCCAGCGCTTAGCCTTTTAGCCCCGGCGCGATAATTAATTAGCTCGCGGGCATCGTTAGAGTGAAACAACGTCGAGCCGAGCGCGTAGGACTCGAGGAAAGAAAGCGAGAGAAGAAGGCGTAAATTGAAGCGGGGGGAGGGAAAAAAATCGCGCTTCCGTCATAAAGTGGTGGTGGAAAACGTACGGAGGCGCGTAATCAATTATCGGGATTTTGCACGAAATCACGTTCTCACGACCGTGTCTCAAGCGTGCCATCGTCTTTTGCGAAATTACTTTTCGGGATCTGTATATGACTAGTCATAGAGAGAAATTTTCTTACGATCGCCGGCACTTTCTCAAGAAGAAGACTTTTCTCGCTTCACTTGCCTCCAGGCTATGTAGGCTGCTCAAGCTTAATGTAAAGGAAAGGTAAAAAAAAAAAAAAAAAAAAAAAAACGGGGACCAATTTTTTACTCTTGTTCTCGACTTAGACTATTCTCTCTCTCTCTCTTTCGTCCTTCTCTCTATCTCCTTTTCTATCTTAATCTATCTTCCTCTTTCACTTTCTCTATCTACCTTGATACCCTTAATCAAGTCGCCCACCGAACTATCCATAAATCTCTGTACACTCTGTCTGTGTTAAGTCTGTTGTGGACCAGCGAATGCAGGAAATACGGGGGAACGGAGTCGCGACTTATGCCAAGCAATAAATCAGAGACCAACTACCACGTCTGACCACGGAGGAAGTAACGTTACGGCCGCAGCACAGCGCAAATCCGAAGGTGTCAGTCACGCCGAAATTAGCTACATTTAAGCTAAACTAGATTCTAAAAAATTTGGTCCAATAGAAAAAAAAACACACACACACACACAAAACACCGATTGTCGAAGACAAACTTTACTGCGCTAGGCAAGAAGAATACCATCACGTATACGTGAGAGTGCCACGTGTGTATTCTAAAATTACGATATCGTAACACCACGGGACATTGAATTCTCGAACGAAGAAGAGAGACTCTTAGGTAAAAGATACTTTTCCCGAGTAGGCGGCGCGCGATATCATCGCGCGTTACAGACAACTCCCCCCCCTCCCTACCCCGTCTCGAAGAGATACGCATCAATAACCGCGGGAACAAGCGCCGACGAAGTTGGTTCTGCAAATAGTTATCGCACGATCCGTAGAAACGATCTCCCCGAAGAGAGTGAGAGAACGACGGCGGGAACGACGAGCCGGGAAAGCGAGGTAAAGCGTGTACGAGAGCATTTACGTATTCGACGAGGATGGCATTATCCTGAAACGGGCATGACGCCCTTGGCCTCGAGATGCGACGAGACCACCACCCTTCTGTTGTTGCTGCTACTCGAGCTAGTACCCGGGGCACGTTGCTATTCGCGCGCGGCCACGACCTCCGCTTCGTTCTTAGCGAGATAGCATCTACAGTCCCCGGCGAGGGTGCGAGTGATGCCGCTTCTCGGCAGCATTATGACCATCGCTGTCGATAATCCGACAACGGCGTCCACGAGCGTCTTCGAGGGGAACATGACGTGGTCTCGACCAATCAGTGGTGGCTCTATGTTTACTAATAACGAGGCCCTCCCGACACGCGCTATCCCGAACGGCGAGCAACGCTGGCATCATCATTCGGCGGCATCGGTAACTGTCAGCAACGATCGCGATAGTCGCTTCCTCCTGAGCGGCGGCGACGGCGACGACGTTAAAGGAGAACCGAGCGGTACCGGAGACAACGAAAAACACATCATCGAGAGCGACGGGGGTGACACAACTACTAGCACGGGGCGCGAGAGCGGTCTGACAGAAAAGAAAAAAACGTCGTCCCACCGTTGCGGCCAGACTTCAGAAACTCCGGCTTGCGGGAACACCGTAGACGCGACAAAGGGTGGGGAAACTGCATTTACTGGCGAAGAAAACGTGGCAGGGATAGATACCGGGGGTGGCGGCAGCGAAGAAAGTGTCGACAGCGTAGGCAGTACGACCGGCAGTGTAAGTGTGAATAGTACAGGTGTATCGAATAGCACGGAAGAAGGAGTCGCGATCGAATACGACGAGAAGGATCTGTTGCTCTTCGGGTTCGGCGACACGATGGAGGACACGATCGGCGCGTTCAACGACTCGTTGAACGCGAGCTACCACTATCCCTGGAACATCAGCATCAACGAGACTTACATCGTTGTCGACGGTTACCCGTCGGGATACACTTTGCCTCACATTATACTCGCGTCGATTTTCGCGACGCTGCTGATGATCGTCATTATCGTGGGGAACATGCTCGTGATAATCGCCATCGTCACGGAGAAGGCGCTCAAGAATATACAGAACTGGTTTATCGCCAGTCTCGCGGTGGCGGACTTCTTTCTCGGCCTCATCATCATGCCGTTCTCGCTTGCCAACGAGATCATGGGCTACTGGATCTTCGGCTACTGGTGGTGCGACATTTACTCCGCCATGGACGTGTTGCTGTGCACGGCCAGTATTATGAATCTGTGCCTAATCAGTCTGGACAGGTTTTGGAGCATCACTCAAGCGGTCGACTACCTGAAGAAGAGAACACCGGCGAGAGCGGCGCTGATGATCGCCCTCGTCTGGCTGCTGTCAGCGCTCGTTTGTATACCACCGTTACTCGGATGGAAAAGACCCACTCCGGCCGAAAAATTTCCCAAGTGCACGGTGAGTGAAACGATTTTCTTGCAAAATGAAACCCAACTGATCACGTACTGATTTTAGTTACACATCAAATTGTTGCGTTTACTTAAAAGTAGGTTTAAACACGACAAATGAATATTGATCAAACGTGTTAAATTAATATATCACAGCAAACATTAATTGCATTATTTATACCCATACATGAAATGTTACAAACCACATAGAAAATTGAATTATGTCGATATATATTGGATTAAATTTTGTCTAATGAGTCGGAAAATTGAAGCACATTTCGACGAAGATAGACGAACGTCAGTCTTAATCGGTTATTCACCTCCTTTCGACGTTAAGCCGGTGCAAACGAAGGATTATCAGAGCGTTGACAGATTCAATTACATTAGGCAATCAGAATCTTACCGTACTGTAAATTTCAGTAACAAGGAGCGAGTCAGAATCGAAGAAACTCACTTTTCCAGAATCAAATTATAAGTTAAACAAATTTAAAGAAATTCCTACGTCTTACGCTTAGAGTTTCAATCTAACTTCGCTACTGCAAAACTATTTATTTTTTAATCTTTTTTAGGTAAACTTTGTTTTGCTTGTGTCTTGCACATAATTAATAAGAGTTTTATATTTTCTGTAATAATTTTTTTTTTTTTTTCTATTTTATAAGAAAGTTTTCACAAGAAAGTTCTACGATAAAACGTAATGCTTTAGAGTTTCAATCTAACTTTGCTGCTGCGAAACTGTTCGTTTCACTTTCTCCGAGTTAATTATATATAATCTTTTGTCCTTGAATAATTATTATAATTAATTACATCACTTTGCCTATATTTTCTTGCGATTTTTTTTCCATTTTGCAAACAATTTGTTTTTGTACAACCGGGGAGCGGGTGAAACACGACGAGTATGGACGGCTGGCGGTAAAGGCCTTGATAAATTTGCGTGAAAAAAGGAATGTATGACGGCCGTTATATAAAGGATGAGCCATTAACCGATCGTAAGTTTCCCGGAGAGGCTGTAAGGAGAAGTGTGCGGTACAGGAAAATTCACGATATATAGATTTTCCTGTAAAGTTCCCTTTTATCCGCTCATACTGAACGGCCGAGTGGCCTAAGACGCACAGAGAGTTTCAATAATGTATAACCAATTTTCAATCCGAATATTTTCGCGATGTATCTCTCTGTCGCGGACACGCGCGAAGAGACGAGAGTAAGGGGCGAGTTATCCGAGCTTTGCTCCTTTCATGCAAACAGCGAAACCCGCCCTTATCTCCGGCATTCCCTTGAATTCCGTTCACGCTGATCTTCACAAAATGGCACTATGAATTCAATTTCTATGCCCGACATTTCGGACTGACACGTTGAAATTCGCGCGCGTAAATTCTCCGCTTCGCGAACAAGACGTTTATAATTTAATTAGCACGTCTTCCGTGTTCTTAGAATATATACACACATATATTTTATATCAAAAATATGATGTAATATTATTACAGCTTTTGCTAGAAAATACAATAATAGGAGTGTGAGAGAGAGAGAGAGAGAGAGAGAGAGAGAGAGAGAGAGAGAGAGCAAAAAGATCTCTCGAGTTATAATTACACTTGGGGCGCATGATTGAATGCACCCTTAAACTTAAACGGAACTAATTACCGGGTATAATTGAGCCATACATTTGTACGGTGTGTAGTTGCAAAACGTGCTCGCTACGCGAATCGCTATATTCTGAATTTCGAAGTATTTTGCAAGTGCGAACGCACACGCTGCGTTCTCTCTCTATCTTTCTTTCTCTCTTTCTCTTTCGTTGTTTTTAGATCCGCGCAAGCAAAACACATTTGATATCCAAGTTTAATAACACTAAACGAGTTGCGTACTTTTCTCATTAAAACACATAACTTCGATAATGACGAGTCATAACGCGAGAATTTATCTGCTTGAGTTGAACAGCGTTAATTATATGAAGTGCGCGATATTATTAAAATTAACGGGACGCGTCAGAGAAAGGAAAAGTGTAAACTCAATCGCGAGAGAGAAAAAGAGAAAGAGAGAGAGAGAGAGCGCTTAGTTTCTCTGCTTATTTGAATGAAGCGGCGTATCATAGCGAGACGCGAAGGTGGTTATTACGCGCACGAAAATCGAGTCCCGTCACGAAGACGTGCGACGTCGACACAGCGGGTGACGAGTAGAAATCCCAAACACGTCGACTTACCGCGATACTGAAGTGTGTCGTTTGAGGATCAGATGGATTTAGAAATATGACGCGAGTTTCGCAAAAAATAGTTGAAATTTGCTTCCTCGGATCGTAAAAGATTGGATCTGTCACAAAGAAATTGACATGTACGCCGCAATTTTCTCTTGATACATGTATCGCACCTTAGATTTAACTTAATCGGTTAAATTAGAAAAGCTGTGAACGTTTATAGCTTATCTGCACAGACCTATCGTCGATGTGTTAAAGAAGATAAGACCGCTCTCCAAACAATGATAAGGCGTCAATTTTCTTTTTCAATTACTATTAATTAAGCCTCTGTGAAATTACAAGATTTGTGATTTTCGTTGAGAAAAGAATGTACGCGATAAAACCGGCATTCGCACCAGTTGTCAGTATTTTATCGAGAAGCACAATTACATAAAGAGATTTCAACTGCGATAATGTCAAATCAGATCTTTTAATCGCACCGATAATAGATCATAAAATTTTGATCAATCACAAGACTAAAATATCTTTACCACGCTACAAAACAAATGTGTATATATTCAGGGTTTACTTTTTTTTTTGTTATCATTTAACCACAAAGACTCACTTTTTATTCTTGTAACGTTTTTCCCTACGGCACCTTGATGAAAAAAGGTGACATGCGAACATCAGTTAAGACGCATCGTGCCATCTCTTTTTGCTCCACTATTTTCCACTGTACTAGCCATTATGGATCTGACAATCTTGTTCCACGATTTCTTGCTCTCTTCCACGTCCTCTCTTCTCATCCATCCAACCGAAGACGCGACGTGAGATCCTTCCCCGGCCGACGATATTGCCGTTGAATTTTTCTGGCTGGTGACAAATGGAAGAACGACAACCGCCATACGAACGAGAGAGGCGGAGAATCACAATCATCGCGCTTTAATCTTTTAATGCGATTAGATTGGGCTTCTTTGGCTATTAAGCAAAGGCCGAAAGGAAAGCGCAATTTGTCTTCCTCACCTCCGTTGCTCGCTTATCTTTATTTCACGAAACTCAGTCGCGAGGAAAATAATACATTTTATCTTGCATTAGAATGAGGGTTAGTTATTCCGGGGCTATAGCGCGGAATAAAAATTGAATATTCCACCAACCGCAGAGAAAGAGAGAGAGAGAGAGATTTTCCGGGACCAAGGTGGAAATCAAGTGCTCCTTAACGAAGATAAACTGACCGGAATTACAAAATATTTTCTCCGAAATTCGTTGCCGCGTTTCGCCGGATGTTACGTTTAAAATAAACGTTAATTGAGTATATTGCGAGAGATTTAATGCCGCAGAGAAGGATAATCGCCGTCGGTGCTTTTAATGCGATTACCTTGCTTTATCGGCACTACGGTATGGAATTAAAGAGTCGACAGAAAGATGTGGCTTATTGCTTTTTTTTTTCTTTGCGGACTTATTTAGTTTCTATAAAACTCGGATAGAACAAATATATAATAAATAATGTCATCCACGTGAGTACGTATTTTACGTGTCTGTCTTATTTACTTACTGACTAAAGAGAGGTGTGTATGTCAAACTTCTCAGAAGTGCCATCAAAAAGAAATTAAGCTATGGCAAAATCCAGTCATTAATTCCAAGTTCTGCTTCTGACATAGACTACTATGTCCAAGAAGCACGAGCGTTTATAAAACGTTTTGCAAAGTTTACTGCATCCTTCCGAAGTATCTGCATTTGTTAAGGAAAGTACGCCGAGAAGATAGATAGATAGATAGATAGGAAGAGAGAGAGAGAGAGAGAGAGAGAGAGAGAGAGAGAGAGACTTAGAGGCGGTACACGTTCAGGAAAGAGAGGTAATTCTCTCGCTCTGCGTCTGTTGTCTTTTAATGCGATTAGTTTAGCAGCTCCGCAACGATGCCAACGATGTGCAACGAAGGGAACTACTATTTACAACGAAGTCGCAATTATCTCTAATAAGCGACGGTATTGTTTGCCCCATGACTTTTAATTCGCGGCTCGAGGAAACAAAATGATTCCGTTATCGCTGTATTATTATTGTTATTATCAAGAACTTTCAAAACATTGTTTTTGATAATGTTCTACAATGTTCCACCTTTAAGTGATTTCTTTTTTTTCCGAAATGTGTTTGTTTTTCTTCTTTTTGCAAAATTACACCTTGGGTTTTCGAATTTTTTTCGAATATGAAACAGTAATGAAATGCAAAACGTATGCAACTTTTTTTTGAATACACAAAACGACCGTTGTAGTTGGAAAATAGACCGACAAACTTTATAGCCAAGATTCTTCGTTTTTCTCAGCAAGCACGTTCGTTGAAAAGAACTAATGAGATACATGCACATCGTGTACATGCTTTTTTTATCGTAATTGAAATTTATTCGTTCAGTCATACCAGTCATATTTTCGTAATTTGAACGACGCTTCTGTATGTGTAAATTATTAAATGGACTTCGAAATTTATTATTCTGTACTATGCTCTGATTTAAATCACGATGATCACGATTCTCGTCAAAATTTCTCCACTCACATCCACAGATGTGAAATTGCGTTAGCGAATTTATTCGCATTTACAGGCAACACATAAAATCAATCGTCAAATACATTACATGTGCATATAGCTTCTTTTACGATCGAGCAAGAGTGCTGGTTGCTTTGTAAACTTGATAGCCGGATCACGTTGTTGCCTCAGAACACTTTTACTTTCACGAGCGTAAAGATTACATTACTTGATTGAAAAAGATCCCTCTTTATTTGTTTATACCTCTGTCGCAACGCGAAAAAGATCATTTTCACAATTAAAGTCAAATATTGTCACAACTTTGCTGATTATT